CATAGCCCATCTGGGCCCCATTCAGGTGAGCACCCGGAGGGAACGGCCGCCAAGGGAGCCTGTGGTGGAGGCCAGTGGTGGAGCGGGGCTGCCGGGGCCTCGGTCAGCCCTGCCACTCACTCCTGGCAGGTTCCTTCTCTGGGCCTCAGTTTTCTCGCCTGTGCTACCAGATAGAAAGGCATGCCTTGAGGCCCCAATGGGATGGCGGATTATGAAAACACTTTCAAAAAGATACACATATGCATCATCAGAAATTCAGGAGATGCAAAGAAGGGAGTTTTCATTTAATATTGGTCATTTATATGAAGGTGTTTATATTTTTACCAGGCCTAGGTTTGATTAGCAAAGTATATGTGCACAGCTGATTAGCTGTGAATGTTGGGGTTTGACCCTGTGTCCTGACCTTGCTGAGGCTACTCTCACACCCTATTAGTTTTGCAGGATGGGAGCCTGGCCTTTGGCCTGTGGTGTTTTAGAGACCCTCAGAGATGGATCCACGGCTATGCAGGGGGTGTGGCTGTGCATGTACAGGGACAGCCCAGCTGCTCCCCCTCCCTCGGGTCCCATCATCTGGAGGGAAAGGGCTCTGGGACCGGTGATGTAGCACCGGGGGCAGGGCAGGACCCACAATTTGGAAAACAACTCCTTTTCCAAAATTTTGTGTCCTTAATGCTCCCACTTCGTGAACTTCTCCCCCACCCCCTATACCAGTCTCTGAACATAATCTGTGTCAGGCCCCATCCAACTCCAAGAGAAGGGAGCTGGGCAGCTTGGGTGAGGCTGGATGCTGCATGATTTCCTCTCCCAACTGCAGACTCCCCTTCGGGAAAGTGGACCTCCCACGCCTGCCTGCCTGGCTGCCTGCCCTGTGTCAAAGGCTTTAAGGGGACAGTGTATAAGAAACTACAAAGCTTGGCAAGATTTAGAATTACTTTTCTGGCTGCAAAGCCTGGGAGGGAGGTGGCAGAAAGGATGAATGTGCCACTTGGGAAAGGAGTGCAGGAAAGTAATGAGGGGGGACAGGTGGACGAGCCCACCCCCAAGCCCCTCCCTGGTCAGAGAGGGAGCAGGGTTCCTCTGCTCAGAGAAAGGACACGGACTCAGCGGCTGCCAGACTGTGGAGACGTCCATCTCCCTGCCTCTGCCTCCTGAGCTTATTACCTTTCCAGGCCAGCTGAGCTCTTTCTCCAGTGACTTGACCTCTCTGTCACTAGAGCCCAGACAGGTGGCTTTTTTGTCCTAGCCACCAGTCTCACCTTGGCCCTTAACTTCAGACAGTCTCAGACAAATCCTCCATTGATGTTTCTCTCCTGCTCCATTCGTCGGAAGCCACATGCAGGAGGTGTTTTGCTTGTGTCTTCCAACTGGGGAAGCAAGAAGGGAGATTTTTTTCTACCTCTAGGCCTGCGGGGAACAAGCCTACAACTGTGTGAGGGGGGACATTCCAAAAACTGCCTGGAAAGGGAAGACGGCTTCTGGGAGTCGGGGCCATGGCGAAGCCGTGCCAAGCTCCCAGGCGGATTCCTTTACATTTCAGTTAGTTTTATATTATGCACGCCCCACGGAATAGGAGGTGAGGTTTTGTGTCTATTTTAATGCAGTAAAGGGCCGTTATGAGCTCTGCTCTTCCCCTGCCTGTTCCTGCTACCCAGATACTGTGCTAGAATCCAAGTGAAAATGTTTGCTTCTCCAAGGCGATGCTGTGTACCAAGGCCAGCATGGGCCTGTGACATTTTAAGGTCCTGGCCTGTCACCTCGAAGCTCACCTAGTCTAATTCTCTCAACTAACCGAAGGGGGCCCAAGGTCTAGAGATGTCACCAATTCCCCAGAACACTATTGAGGCAGAGTAAAAATCCCTGGTGTTTAGTTCCAAGCCGAGGGTTTTTCCCATACCTCCAAGGTGCTTGGTCGGTTATGAGGTCTTGGGGGGAACTAGGGGTGATAAGCCCAATCTGGAAGTTTGGGGGGACAACAAAGGAAAGACAGGGCGACTGCTCCCCAATCCTAAGAGCTGTCAGGGGGCAGAGGGAATGTGCTCTTTCTCTTTGGCCACAGGAGGGGAGACAGAGTAGACCGGGAGAAGTTTGAGGGAGGCAAATTTGGGTCAGTAGGAGGAAGAGCTTCCAGCATTTTAAAGCCATTTGAAAATGGAAGCACATTTAGTTAGAGCAAGAACCAAAATGTCTTCACCACGGATCGCCCGTCAGGGGTGGCGTCATTGGCGCGGAATCATAGAGGAGGTTCTGCTTCAAGGTCCCTCCCAGGCCGAGAGCGTTACTTGTACTCATTTGNTCCGTCAGGGGTGGGGTGGCGTCGTTGGCGCGGAATCATAGAGGAGGTTCTGCTTCAAGGTCCCTCCCAGGCCGAGAGCGTTACTTGTACTCATTTGGACAGGTTCCCTAGAGGGTCCAGGGAAGTGCTGCCATTTCTGGGTGGAATGGAGAAAAGTTTCCACAGGTCCAAGACCACGGTTCTTTTGTTTTCGAACGGTTCTTTTGTTTTCGAACATAGATCTCACTGTCTCAAATTGGCAAGAGGTTGCTGCCTGTTAATTTCTGCCATTACACAGGCGACAGAGAGGAG